AAAATTTAGAAATTTTCATGCTCAAATTGAGATGAAAATTTTGCTTAAAAACTGAAGATAATTTTTTTTTGCAATATGCAGTTTTGGCTTACTTCATTTTTGTCTTAAACTGAGGATATTTTTTTGCTAACGCATTGCTGCAGTGTTTATCTAATATTTTAGCAACAAGCTGATGCTCCTATTTTTGGGTAAATATTGGAATAACATAGTTTTTTGTATTTACATCACAAAATGGTATAGTTATTTAGGAAAGCTTACCGACTTGTCAAACAGTAATGTAAGCGGTTCAGCTGAATAAATTGTTAAAAACTAAGATTTCAAACTTGTCGTTCAACTGCTGTCTAATTTTATAAGTTTTTGATATTTATCTCGTTTTCTTGTGCTTAAAACAATCAATTTATTCATGAAGACACTTCACTGATTTTTAGGTATGACAAAAGAAAAAAGCTCAAAAAATTGCCTTAAAAGACAATTAAGAAAAGCTGAAAAATGAAACAAATAAATTATATATAGAAGTGCTTAACTGTTCAGTGTTTTTTAGTTTCTTTTTTTTTTGTTGTTGTAGCTTATACCAAAACTATCAGTATTAGAAAGAATAGGTTACAGAAGTTCAAAAAAAAAAAACTTTCAATATCCAAACAACAATTGAACTAATAAACTGGATAAGCTTCTTAGAAAAACCAATTTTATTGTTCAAAGCACGAACACATTTTAAAAAGAAGAAAAAAACAGAAATACAAACTTGATCGAAAGTGATTGTTGTCGTTGTAGTAACTTTTATTTTTACAAATGTAGTTCTGAGAAATTAAGTGATTACAAGCCTTCACAACGAGGATCAAGGAAGTATGCAAAATTTCGAAAATCTAAGTGCAACTTTTCACGCCGTTCTGTACGAAGATAACCCAAACTGATACTTGTATTCACAGCAACAGTTGCTTCTAAGCCACACTGATTGTACAACGATGGAAGAATACAGTCGCGCATCTGTAAAAACATATAATGTCTTCTAATTCAAAGATCATTTAACAACCAGCAGTTAGTTTTGGCAAATCAAGAAAAAAATCCTCATTTTACTGAACTTTGCGTCAGCGAAACTATAACATCTTTTTTAGATTATATTTACTCGTCATAATCAACTAGTACAAGAAATTTGCAATGTTAAAATACAGCTGTCGTTAACCAGGCAAAAATTTTTGCAGTTATCAAACAGATAATGAAAATGTTTCGTAAAAAAAAAAAAATCGTTTCAAAAAGACCTGTTTAAAGAGTTCACATTTATCGCCTTCAATTTTGGAAATTCTTCGCATTGCATCATGAAAAACAAAATTATGGAAAACAGATGTCAATTCTGCACGAGGTTTAAGTTTTTTTACTGTATTCAAAGCTGTATTATAGATTGACAAAATTTCGGTGTTTGCAAGATTTCTGGATGTCCAGTATTGTTGCATTAGCTGAAAATAATCTTTTGCAAAAATATGACTGAAAGGAAAAGCAATTTTTAAATTTATAGTTTAATTAAATTTTTTGCTCTTATTAGCACGAGGCTTAATTATACTTTACAACTTTAGCAAACTTTTAGCAACTTTTTTTTTGATTAAGCAACAAATAGAGTGTACAGAAAACTGATATTCTGGTGTAATGTTTCAACTAAAAATAATTTTGAAAAAAAATTTTTTTTTTGCAAAATCTTAGCTTAAAATTGGATAAGTTATCAGCATCATACTTGTAAACATGAAGCAGACCATAATGCAACATCAGCTCCGACGCAAGGATAAACAGAAGGAGCATAAGTTTCGTTAGCACATTCAAGATCAAACATCATTTTATGGTTTCCGATTGTCTTCAAATCTTCAATCCTGCGACGTGTTACTTCATCACCTTCAAAAACTGAGCCACACTGTAGTTGTTGTTCATGTTTACTGCAGGCCTGTAACTTCAGAATTTGTTAAAATTGTGTGAAATGGCAACGATTTTAAGCTTATAAGCTTTGTTTAAAATTAGACAGTTAGGTGTTGTTACTTCAGATCGACATGTAAACAACTTTTCACATTTTATTTAGCGGCAACAAACCCGTTTTCTGACGACAGCATCATCATTGCTGTTTCCCATCAGATGGTGAAAAAAAATTGAAAAATTAGCGGCACAAAGTTCTCAAATCAAAATCAGATAAATTACGAAAACTGCATAAAGAAAAAATTTGATTTTCTTTTTTATTTTTTTGACTATTTTACTTTTGAACTATGTGACGAACAGAAATTTGGAAGCAATTTTGCCTAATAACCTTCAAACAGATGTTCTATATATACACTTCTTCTGTGTTGCTTCAAATCTGCCTTCTGTAAGCGGTATGACACCTGTTGATAACGTTTCTACTGGAAGATTATTTGCTTCTTAATTTCAGCTGCTCAAACAGAATTAATAATGCTCAGCCAAATAACCGTCAATTTTCTTTACCGCAAACTAATATAGTTTTAAAAACTCTAATCTTAATTTTTGCAATCTTAAATAATAAGCAAAAATGATAAGAAGTTCTAATTATACAATTGACAAAGCAAAAAAATTATATGCCAACTGCTAGGCAGTTTTATCTTACTTCTTTACAACTAAATATGATAAAAAGTTTGTACACTTTTGGATTTTCAGCAAGCCTTTGCAACTCTTTTGATTTTGCCTGTTTGACAAGTAATGCATCAGAAGAACATACTTACATTAATTTCAAAAACTTATTGGTAAAGAATTAAAATGTAGTAAAAAATCTATTGCATTATAAAGACTCAAATTATCATTACTGCTTAATTTTAAGAAGGAGTACCGTACAACAGGATTATTTTTCGGAACATTTATCATAATTAAGAAGGAGATTTTTGTTACATAGTGTAAAATTTTCTAAAAATAAAACGTACCATGTCGACTATCTCTTTCATGAAACTGGACGGTACAGTCATAAATTGTGCTGTAAATTGTTTCAACCCCATTTGTTCAAGCAGCTCAACATCGTTGGGTCGAGACTCACTTTTGGCTCGTTCTGTTATCCTAACAGTTTGCTCAGAGTCAATGTTATTGCACATTTCCAGGCTGTCAAGATATAATTCTTTCCTGAATAGAAACAAAAACTTTCAGTTGTTATCTACTTTTTTAGGATTGTTGTTTTTTGTTGTAATAATGCGGTAAAAAAGTTGCATAAATATGCAGAACAAGTTTTGTACAAGATTAATAGTAAGATTTAAGATGGTAACTTGCTGAAACAAGATTAGAATTGTATTCTCACTGCATTCACTAATGTCTTTTTTTTTTTTTTTTGTTCCATCTCATTCTTCTTTGACATCTACAGGTTCAATAAATCTGTTCGAATGCAACAACTTAACACATCTTTTAATCCATTTTTCCTTTTTTCTTTCTTTCTTTAAAGTACCAAAGAGGTAAATAGTTGTTGTTTTTGACATTATAAAAAAAAAAAAACAGATATTTTTTTTTTTGGAGCTAACGTTTCACATAGAGCTGTTTACTTTTTCAGTTCATCGGTAACACCAGCGACTCTTTCAATATATACGACTCGTGCTGTAAAATTACATTATATTATAGTGAATATAGTAATGCTAAAAAATTTTAACTATTGAGGAGGTCTAAAATAAAACAAAAAAAAATGTTTCAGAAATTTAGCATGCATAAAAATTAGTTAATTCAGAAAAGCAGAAAAACAACTTTAGATATTATAAGAATGTTTTGAAAGCTCACTAGGATAGTTTTAGGACTTGAAAACTTCAGTGTTTTAGAACGTTCAAGAGATATAAAAATTCAATAAAATATCATCAATTTTTGTGTCTCTTAAGCATTCTGAAAACCTTTAAAGTTTTTAGTCAGAATGTTTTTTTTTTTTGTTTTGCTTAATCAATTAACATATATCACTTACCTTTTTCACCAAGACTTTGAGCTTTAATGAATAAATCATTGTCAATTTCCGGGTATATATAATATTCAGCGTAACATTTGTTGGACAATAAGCAAATAAAGAAATGAATCAATAATACAATGAATATTGGCATTACTGAACAATAACTGTAAACAGAATAGTAATAAGTTAAAAAGTGTAAAGATCAAAAATAAATTAAGTAACTAAAAATAGAAGTATTAGTTTGACAAACGAGTAACAGCAAAACAAAAAAACTATTTGGTCAACTGTAGTTTGCTGTAATTTCAATCAAAAAACAATTACTTAAAACCATAAAAATTTAAAGATGAAAAAGAATTTTCTACCAAACTGTTGAATTTTTTTTTTTTTTTTGCTAAAAGAAAAAATGGAAAGATTTTTTGTCTAAGGGTTTGTTCAATGTATGAAAGCTTTTAGTCTTTTTGTTCTGTTTTGTTTTTCTGCATCAATATTAATTCCAAATTGCACAAAAATATTATTAAACCGTAAGATAGTGTGGCAAGAAAAAAAAAAA